TTTTATTTATCTCTACTGTCCAGGTATAAAGCTTGAAATAAATATATGTTTACAAGTCTACTGTCCAGAGAGAAAGTTTCAGTTATATATGTCTCTACTATACAGAGATAAAGCTTCAGTTTTATTTATCTCTACTGTCCAGGTATAAAGCTTGAAATAAATATATGTTTACAAGTCTACTGTCCAGAGAGAAAGTTTCAGTTATATATGTCTCTACTATACAGAGATAAAGCTTCAGTTTTATTTATCTCTACTCTCCAGGGAGAACCCTGTTGGAAGAGAAATGTTTTCAAGAGCCAGTACTGTGGTTAAACAAGTTGAAAATGTTGCCAAAAACCTCAGTGTGTTTAGTTTGTTCAAAAAGTGCAATTGAACTTGTGTCGGATCCAGATAGTGAAGATCGGTATATGTGGAAATGTACCAGTGAAAGGTGATAAGATTAGTTATAAGGATGAAACTGTTATACTTGTTTTTATTTATATCCTCTCTCTATTGAGATAACTTCTGACATGTAAAGTTTCTTTTTACTAACATTTTCAAATTCATAAATATTTAATGTTCTGATATAGACATATAATAATTGTATGTTGGACTGGATTCATGAAGGAGAAAACGAAGTCTAGTAATGAAGGTGAAGATGGTTGACGATACACAAAATTTATTTAGAATTTTCGAATGTTTTGGAATATATTTATTCCATCTTCAGTGAAGTCTGAAAATAGCGTTACAAAGATATTTTATTAACTAAAACTATAGTATCGTTAATCACTAGTTAATTTAGTTAAATAAAGTGGTAAGTTAAAGAATAAAACAACAAAAGAAAAGATTATAGATATATTGTGTAACAGTTGAATTTTAAGTGTGTAAACTAGAATAATTTTAAATCTAAAGAGGTTTATAAGTTGTTAAGAGTAGGGTGGTCTTTAGCTATGAGTAAACTTTCTTTAATATAGAGTTCAAGATCTGAAGATCCTGTAGTAATGACAGAGAAATCATTTAATAAAATATTGTGACCCATGGTTTCAGCATGTGGACAAAGGTTCAGTGGCTGGGTTTACGTAGTGGACAGTTGGTTCTGTTAGATACTCCTAAATGTTCACAGAGTAGGTTTTCAAGAAGCCTTTTGTTTTGCCAATGTATGTGACCTTACTGTCACTACATGTTTACTTATACACGAGCCATGTACGTAGAAGTTTAGGTAGTTGATCTTTGTATTGGAATATGTTTTTAATGAGGAATCTGGGCTTGTAAGTTAGTCTGAGGAGTAGAAGTTTTTATTAAAAAGAAAAGTTGTTTTTTTTATTTGTAAGGATTGTGAACCCATAAAAGGAAGCAAGATAATGAGGGGAACTTGGGGACAGTGTGCACGTTGGTTAGTGGTTGGAATCTGTTGTTTAGGAAATTGTGTATATTCTTTGTTAGAAAATCAATTGGATAGCCATTATTTAACATGTTTTTGTGTACCTAATTGGATCGAGTTCATAGTCACTTTGTAGCCCATTAGAACTTCCTGTCCAATGCTGTTTCAGTTGAAGGTGACATTTTGAACTGTTAAGAAAGTCTTTATCAAAAACTGGTCTGGCAGTTTGAAACATGGTTCTTAACAGATGTAGTCCATTAAAATTTCCAGTGTTGTTGATATTTTGAACAGTTATGTAAACCTTCATCATGATGGAGACTTGAAGTAGCAGTTTAAAACACAGTTCTTATGTAAACAATGTAAAGTCAGTTAAAGTTTCCAAACAAGTACAATCTCCTGTGTGCAAGTTGACTTGTATACAACAACTGACAAATGCTGATATGTATATATTAAGTTCAGAACTAGAAACAAATTTCCGTGAATCTTAATATTCCTCTCTTGAGCTGCTTTTACCCATAATTTTCTCTACCTTGTAGTATTTTCCAATAAATGTTTTATTGGTGTGGTTAAACTGAAAATGTCTGAGTAGATTTGTGTTTTAATGATACCATTCATATGTCACAATAGCTGCATTTTGAATATATAAATTTTTAATTTGTTTATAAAATAATTATTAGAGACTTTTATTATATATAAAGTTAATTATCAGACTTCTTATTGGTTATGACTTTCTCCACAACATTTTTTTCAGCAATAAGTGTTTTAATTTTTTCAGCTGGTTGTTCTGTTTAGGATACATTAAACCTAATAATAAATCAAAATTACAACTTGATAACATATCTGTGGGGTCATTCTGAAAATTTTCAGTTTTCTATTGCTTTAATATCTACACACACACAGTTTCAATAATCATACTGCCAGTCTATCAATTATACTGTACACTAAGACAAACAGGTTTGATATTTATATTCTTATTTTTATACGTTAAACAGATTGTGAGAAAACTAGACATTCAAATGATCCACATTTCAATAAGTGTGAGATAAAATAATCTTTTGGATTTCAGAAACATTAGACTGTGCTGTTCTTAATGATAAATATAATGTGAAAGTAACTTACTACCAGACATTAACATGACTTACATTAGATTGTGCTGTATTGTGACTTTATACTGATGGAATATGTTTGACCCTAAACTTATTCTAGACTGATTATTAAAAACAATGTTTATTTTAAGGAATATTGCTCAATTTTTAAGATTATACATGCTTTACAGGAAGTTTTTGCAGGACCTAACTACATCTAGGATGAAGTTGTGTTTGCTTTTACTTAAGTGAAATTTTATTTTTTGTGTTATTTACAGCTGTGGCAGAAAGTCTCAGATAACTCGACCAAATGTTTTTGGGCGGTTTGGAATACCCCTGTGTAAATTGTTGAAATTGACTTATCACTGGGCTGTACAGTCTGATGTGAAAGGCATACTGAGTGAAGTTGGTATAGATGTGTATATGGCAAGGTCAGTTTGGAGAACACTTCAGGAAGTTTGTGCTAGAGCTCTGGTACTCAAATCAAAAAAACTAGGAGGGCCTGGTACAATGGTTGAAGTTTCTTTTGCTTACATGGGGAGATTTAGCATACTTGGTGCATATGATCGTGGTAGTGGCAGAGTCCGTATGAAGGCCATTTCATCATCAATGGGTTGGTCCACGTCTGTATGTGTCAAAAGTTTGGAACCATGGCTTTTACCCAACTCTGTGATTGTGTCCTCAGAAGTGAAGATGAAAGAAATTACTAGGAGTGGACACAAATTTCTTTTAGCTCCTGGAGTTACTTCTCCACCAGAAGGTGAACTGGGTGTATCAAAAATCAAAAACTATCTCCAGGTTCAGCTTAGTGACATGTTTGGACAATTCATTGTTGCCCAGCTGAAACTTGACACTGTGCAAGGATATCTAGATGAAATTCAGTGGAGAGAAAGATTTGGAACCACTCCAAGTAATGCCTTTTGGAATATTATTGATGACATTGGTGAGCAAAGTGGAAGAAAAAGTGAGTTCATCCATTTACTTCAAACATTATTGTTAGTAGTGTTTTTTTAATTAACATGTGTAAGTACTATGTAAGTAATCATAGTGCTTACTGTGAAGGAATGTGCTTGTGAATCTCTTCAGTCCATTTAACACAAGTAGATTTCATTTAAATACTGGTATCCCAGAATTTCTTACAGATAAAGAGTTATTAAATTAAATTAACATGCACACTCAAATATTATTAAATAAAAAAGACAGGTCAAACACTATTTTATTTTGAATTTGAGGTTTAGAAAAGAATAGAAGTATCAGATGTAACCCTAGCCAAATGAATTTATTTACATATCTTTATGTAGTAAATTAACAGAGTTAATTCAGATTTGCCAGATATCAGTATAATAAATATCAAAGTAGACTGTGATTCTTGTGTTTTTAGCTTTCTAATATTAAAAACAGTATTTTTTATTGGTATTAAAACATTTATAAGTTATTGTTTGGATAAATTAAAAAGCTACTGTTTGTGTCTTAGCTTCTTCAATAGGTTTTCCTCATCAACAAAAGCAGCTTCCTGAAAAGGTCATCACTATGATTGGTCAAAAAAATGACTTAAAATACCAGCGAGATGTCAGAGGACAAATAAAGCGGCCTGCAGAAAGTGTAGTTCTTAATGCACCTCCTCAGAAGAAAGCAAAATCAGGTAATATGATAATACATCCTACAGCTACATTTTTGAAACTAAAAGAATTGTATTAAGTAGTGTAATAACTCTAAAAAGGCAGTAACTGCATTATGATATTTGAGAAAGTAAATAGTGGATAAAACATTTAAAATCTTCAAGTGTACTGTGCATCAGTACAAAAAAAAAGGTTTATGACAAATCCAGCAGTGTATTACAGATATCTGAATTGAAAAAAAAAAGTGTGACAAATTTAGTATGTATATCTACTATATAAAGATGAAAAGCTGTCCATCTGTCACATAAATATTAAGGAAGACAGTCCAAAGAGAAGACCCTGAAATTCATAATAAAATTCCCTGCCTTTACCATTACAATTAATAACTTTCAGGGTCATACAGTTGACTATATAGAAATATGTCTTTGAGAATCAGTATTTTGCATGATTCAATCTATAAGGATTTATAAAGAAGAAAATTTCAACATAACTTAGAAAAATATAGAAGTCAAAATGCCTATCAAGCTGTACTTAAAGGAAATGACTGGATATACATAAAAAAATGTTGTTTTTATGAAATACTAGAAATAGGATAGTCATTATATATATATATATATATATATATATATTGTTACTAGAGTATAATTTATTTTTAGAAAACATGTTCGTAAAACAATTATGTAGCTATAGTTTAGAGAAGAAATTCATTATTTCCTGTCATGTGATGGACATTCAGTTTGTTATACATATAGGTGTTTCTTAAATTTTGAATAAAGAGGCTTGTAGCAATTTTAGTAATGTTTATACGGGATGCAGTATTTTTATTTAAAAAAAACTAATCTTTTAATGTTTATACTGGACAATGCTTATTCTTACAAAATTATACAAAAACTTTGTGACTAATCTGTTAATGTATTAGGTTGTCAAGAAATTAATGTCACATTTTGGAACACTTTTATTAACCACCCCTCAAAAAATGTACATCACGTATAATAGTTAAACAAACTATCTAAATGTCACGTTTAGTATACTTCGCTTTGATGGAATAAACTTATTTTTTCTTATTTCCTTTTCCACTGTAAGTTTCACTCTATATATATATCAAACGTTGGGCCTATATCAGTCATTAGGCCTATCACTTTTACGTTACTTAACTTCACACCAACTATATTCTCTTTGCTATTATCTGTCTAATACCATCTGTCTACTTTTAACTCTTATTATAACAAAACTTAAAAATAATAAAATATTCACTCACAAATATAAATTAATCACTAATATTTAAACCAAACAGCCTTTTATATCATGACACAAACCCCTATTCAAGATAAAATATTTACAATATATTTTTTTACTATATATAAAGTCTGTTCTTAGTTCAAACACAAAGTCTGCTCCAACATTTGCAGTACCTTTGATTGCCTCAATGCGGAACCTGTAGTTCTGAAGATACAATGCCCACCTCATGATCCTCGCATTGTCGATCTTGCACCTCTGAATGTATGCAAGTGATTGATGGTCTGTCTGAATGATGATCTTCTACCCTTATAGGTAGTTCTGGAATTTCCAAATGGCGAATATAATAGCCAGACACTCGTTCAATCACTGAGTAGTTCTTTTCACTATTCAACAGTTTTTTACTTATATATGTTATTGGAAACAGTCCATTTTCACGTTCCTGTAAGAGTACTGCTCCAATTCCAATGTGTGAAGCATCAGCCTGAAAAATAAATGGTTTGTTGAAGTCTGGCATTCTAAGAATTGGTGAGCTTCCCAACATGTTCTTTAATTTCTGGAATGCCACCTGGTGTGGTTGTTCCCACTTCACCTTGTTGGGTAAGCTTTTCTTGGTCAGGTCAGTCAATGGTGCAGTAATTTCAGCATAATTTGTGATGATTTTCCTATAGTGACCAGCTAACCCTGGGAAGAATCTGACTTGCTGCTTGGTCATTGGAGCTGGTGTATCTTGTATGTGGGTTACCTTTTACTTTTTCATGGCTATCTGTTGGTCACCCACTTTATGTCCAACAAACTCCAGCACAGAATATCCAATGTACACTTCGATGGCCTGATGGTGACGCCTGCTGCCCTCACTCACTGGAATAGTTGTCTAAGTCTCTTCAGGTGGTTTTCCCGTCTTGCAGTGTGTATCAGAATGTGATCCACATAGAGCTCGATGTTGGTGGTGTCGTGCAGCATCTTCCTCATCATGCGGTTGAATGTTGCTGCTGAATTGAACCAAATAGCATCCGCTTAAATTGGTAACATTTCGATTTTCGATACCTCACTACTATAAAGGCTTGGTTTGGTCTGAAGTTTCATTGGTGGTAATGTCCAGGGTCAATGATGAGGAGTTGAATTCTCCAAAACTAGTCTGGCTCACAGACAAACAAATGTTTAAACAACTCTATTCAATTATGTACCAGCTGCCTAGTGTTGGCTAACAATACGAAGAATTAAATTATGGTGGAATGCTACAAGTTCTTCAAATACCTATAGATTATAGAATAATAGGTTTCTTTTTTGTGAGTGTAAAACACTTAAATACACCATTTCTATATTCTCTTTGCTTTTATCTGTCTAATACTGTCTGTCTGCTTTTAGCTCTTATTATAACAAAACTTAAAAATAATAAAATATTCACTCACAAATATAAATTAATTACTAATATTTAAACCAAACAGTTTTTTATATCATGACACAGAAGTATAGCAAACAATTATCTCTTCTAGTTATGACCTTTGTACTCATTTGCTGCTTGTTGTAGGTTGCTAAGCCTTATGGTGGATGTGAAATGAAATACTTTTTTTAGGTTGTATAGATATACATTTGAAATAACCAAAAAATAATAAATTATTATATTGATATTATAGAATTCCACTATAATTTATCTTGCTTGAAGATTTGTATCGAAAGAACGAGTTGACGTCATAATACTTGAAAATGGCTGAGAAAGCCACTAGGGGACATTCTGAGCTTTTAATTGGTTATTCACATATCATAGACAGAAGTAAGTGTATATAAGAGAGCATTTCCAAAAATGGAAAGAGGTGAGAAGGGCCACTGTGTTTGATTGTGTACGTGAGCAATATCTCAACAAATAGAGAAGATAGGAGGTTTTTATATTCTAGCTTGTTAATATCGTTAATTTGAGTTCCTAATTTGTACGAAACTATAGACTTTGTATTTTAACATCACAAACATCTAATTTGAACCAGTGCTGCATTGAACATACCATGTGACACACAAAAATCAATGTTTAGGTGTTTTTTTTAATATTTACTTTTAAATTAAGAAATTAAATAATGTATGATATTAAAATCTGAATTATAATCTACAGTTTGATACCAAACTTATTAACATAAATTCCTAAAATAGTATTTCAATAAAATTTAGAAATTGAGTCAACAAACGCGATGGCATGGTCGTTGACCCGTGTGGAAAGGGTTAACAAGAAAAGGCTTTCAATATTAAATGTTTGAAATCATTTTAATAATGTAAAATATAAATTCTTAATGTGTTACATCCTGAACTATCAGCTTTAGCATATTTTCTCAGATATTTGTTGGAATTTTTTTTTTTCATTTTTCTAATATAATGGATCCATGTAATATTACTGAGGTTTCATTTATATTTATTATTAGTTTAAAAACCCATTTCTTACTTGTGTGAAATGTTTTATTTCAGAAACAGTTTCAGTCGCTCTTGTTGAATATTACTATGCAAAGAAAGAAGGGAATGTTGAAGTTATAGCTAAAGAATCGAAGGTCAGCACCCAGTTCAAGGTGCGTGTCATATTCAGATCAGAGTGTGTTGTTTATCATCTTGCGAGAATACACTTGATTATGTTACTGCCATTATTTTTAAATTGCATGATTATAATCTAATTCATTCAATGGATAGTTTAGTTTTTCATTTATGTAAATCTCAGTAATACTTCTAACATAGCTCAGTGACTCAGCAGTATGTCTGCAGACTTACAGTGCTAAAAACCAGGTTTCAATATATATATATATATATATATACATGTATATTCTTGTGTAATACCACTCTGTTTATATAAATCTTTGTACTCACTCCACCAGTCAAATCTAGCTATTCATTCAAGTAAACATATACTCCACCAGTCAAAATAATCAAAAAAGTGTGACTAAACATCCAACAGCTGAATGTAACAGTGTAAATTAATTAGTAAATAACATAATGTATACTCCATCAGACAGAATAATGTCAGAAAATATTTAAAAAGTCATAACCACAAAATCTAGAAGAAAACTTTATTAATGCCCTTGTTTTCTTGTTCCCAATGATTCATTGTCTACTGTTATCATATCTACAATTCAAATTATAATCTATAGATTTAAACACAGCATAAATATATATAGATATATATGTAGATAATGGAATGGGATACACCAATGTGTGAGATGTACATGTACTGAGAAATAGGTACAAAAGAAGGGTAAGGTGAAATGCATAAAGTGCATTAGAATAATGTAAGATTCATATTAGTAAAATTAGTTAAAAGTAAAACATGAAATAAGTTAGAAAATACCTTTGTACTGTATAAATATTCTCTAATGTTTATAATATAGTATTTTTTTCTTTCTTATGTTATTGGCATATTTTATTGATATGAAAGTTTATAAAGATATATATATATATAAATTTTGGAGATGGCTTGACTGGGTAATGAAAAAATAAACTTTATTATAAATGTATGACGTTTCAACAAGATTGTCATCCTGGGGGTATAAACATCGGACATTTATAGTAGAGTCTTTTTTTCGTTACCCAGTCAAGCTGTCTTAAAACTTTTATTTTCTAAAAAGTGAGTTCCTCGCCATCAGATATATATGTTACACTAATTTTCACAACTTTTGTAGTGCCATATTTGCAAAAAAATGTTAGACAACAATATAAAAGCCATGAAGCACATCAGTGGCCACATTGAGAACACCCGACAACGAAGCCCTGACTTGAGTGACCTAACACAGTGCAAATACTGCTTTAGAGATTTTGAAACACCATACAGCATGCAGTGCCACATTGAAGCGGTGAGAATCTGACACTGTTCTAGCAAGAATGTTATCAATAAATGATGTGATGATCTGTAATAAAATTAATAGAATGTAAAGTAATACAGTTAATAATTTTTTATTGGTTCTCTAACAGATATTACTATGATAATTTTTTATCAAGCTAATTTTGTGAATCACAGTACAACAGTAAAATCTTTTATAAAGTTATTGTGTATTTAAGTTGTATGTATCCTGTTTATTCTGTGATGTACAATACTATATTAGAAATCTGTTTTAAGGTCATTATTATTATGTTGAATGATATTGTATTGCAGATGCTTCATTATATCTTTAATATACTTATTAATTTTCTAAGTTTAGTTTAGACTGACAATCTTTTAATTATGTATAATATGTAACTTATATAAGGGGAGATTTTTGTTTTGTATTCTTTCGTATATATTCAGTAAAATTTTAGCTGTATTAATCTTACCAACATTTTTGTTTCTTCTAAAACCTATCACTCATGCAGAATTTTATTTTTTCATGGTGTAACATATGAACACTCGTACATAGGCATGTGAACAACATACTAAAGGTGCTTAAGAACTGCGTACCAGAGGTACTTGATGTTAAGGAGTATGTTAGAATATGAACTGTATACTAAAGACATTTGATGTTAAGGAGTATGTTAGAATATGAACTGTATACCAAATGTATTTGATGATAAGGAGAATGTTAGAATATGAACTGTATGCTAAAGACATTTGATTTTAAGGAGTATGTTAGAATATGAACTGTATACTAAAGACATTTGATGTTAAGGAGTATGTTAGAATATGAACTGTATACTAAAGGTACTTGATGTTAAGGAGTATGTTAGAATATGAACTGTATACTAAAGGTATTTGATGTTAAGGAGTATATTAGAATATGGACTGTATACTAAATTTAATTAAAGTGCTTTATTATCATGGTATCTGAAAATACAAATAAACTTGGCATCAAAACATAGTTAATAAATGAAATTTCAATGTTATATAAGCTTTAAGTTCTTAATTTTATAAGGAAATGTTTAGAACAATCCTCAATCTCCCCTAGTAAGAGAATTGTGACATTTGCTCTCAATGTTTCCCTCCTCTCTAATTTTTACCACCTCTCTGTTAATGTACAGAATTTAGTATGAATTACTCATTATAATATAGTTAGTATTCAGGCAAAGCATAATTTTTACAGCCTTTAATCATATTTGTTTATGGAGCCATAAGCTTGCCACAACCACCTGTCACATCCTCTCTTTTACAATTTGCCAGCACTCCTTTCTCATGTTTAATACTATATTATTTATAACCAATAGAAAGCCAAAGTTTTAATCTATCAAGTAATGTGTTATATTACATTGTTTTCTGTACAGAAAATTGTCTATTTTGTTTCTGGTTCAGACATTGTTCCCTTGTGAAACACATTGACAAGTGTAGCTGAATATTTAAAGGCATTTATTGCATAGTTAGAAAGCCAGAAAAATTTTGATAGCTACAGGATGTTGTCACCTTTTTACATGTTATTATCCTGTGTTCTTAGGTGCATTATTTAATACGGTAGTACCATTAACCCTTTAAGCACAGACAGACCTGAATACCATCCTCTCCACTATAGGACATTTATGCAACATAAATACTGTAACTCTGTACATTCCTCACAAAACCTCATAAGGTTTTGTTAAAGTTTTAAGTATTTTGTACACAAAGAATGACATAATTCTAATTACGTTTTTTCAATAAAAATTTTATTTATCTATAGTAGTTATCTGCACTCAAACGTATTTAAATAGTTTGATTGCAAGGTGATTTTCATTTTAAGTATAAAAATATTTTTCTTCATATTATAGTTTTCATATTTCATTTGTATAACCTCTAGAACCTCTTAAATGAATAACAAAAATATTTCTAAGGTAATTGTTTATATTTTATTTTTCATTTCATATCACTAACTCCAGCTATTATCATCAACATACAATGCAATGAAATAATTAAAATTAGGAAATAGAAAAAAGTACATACCTTTTAATTTTTTGTAGGATATCTTTTAAGATGTTGTTTTGGTTATATTTGTAATTTCCAGTCTTATTCTTTTCACATCTTTCTATAATGGATGTAACGTGTATATATGTATCTTATCCATATATCTATATGCATGTAACCAA